GGACTTTAATTCTTGTTTTATGTTCAAAAGAGGATGAGGTATACCCTCCATTGAGAAATAACCCTAAGTGTGTTCTCACTTTGGAGTTTTGCCATTCATTAACCAGACATTGATTAAAGATATACTGTATTCCAGGTGTGTGTTAGGTGCTAGAGTAACATATAAACCGTGAGACTTGTCTAGAAGGAGAGAAGGATTAGGGCTCAACTAACTATAATACAACTTGTTGAGGACTAAAATAAAGAGTGGTGTGGAATTATAGAGGGAGGGAGGAATTTCTTCTGGGAAGTGGGATGGGTGATGCAGAAAGAATAAGTGAGGTTTGGGAAGACTTCATTAGGGGATGTAGAAGTAGGGGTCTTTGAAGGGTGAGTAGCAGTTTTACTGATGAAGAGGAAGAGGCTTGCGTTGATATTTTGAGAAATAGCAAGTAAGTTTTGCTGTACTTGGGGAGCAGTGGAAAATGCAGCTGAGGAGGTTTCAACCTGATTTCAGCATGGAGGAGTTAAAGATTGTAATTGGTGAATAGATGATAATGCCTTTGATGAAGATAGGGAATGTATAGGAAAGAACAATTTGAGGAGGATGGTAATAGGGTATGATTCTATTTGTGGGTATCAAGATATATCTATTAGTTACCTATTGACAGATTTGGGCTGGAGCTCAAGGGGAAGTAAGGTTCAATTAAGAGATTTATATTCATTAGCATAATGCCATATAGAAACTGCAAAAGAATGTATTATCAGGAGTGAGGAAAAGACTAAGAGCAACCTTGTGGAGCCTCTCCATCTGAGGGTTAAGTGGATGAAGAGAAGCCTTTTGAGGGAAGTTGAAAATGAATGGGTAAAGAGATAAATGGTGTGGGTTGAAGAAGCTGAGGATAGGGATTAAGGGAATTTTAACAGGGAGTTTAGTAATGTGAAATACTACAGAGAGCTCTGTGGGGTGAAAACTGAATTCGGCAATTAAAAGTTAAATTTTCTGAGAGTGTGTGTATGTATGTATTGTTTTGCCAGGAGTTGTGACAGTTAATAGATTTCCAGAGCATTATTGAATATGTGGTAGGGCCTAGAAAACCCAACTTAATAGAGGACTCATGCTTAGAAACAGGTCCTGTTCTTCCCCTTCTGTCATGGGAATTACAGCATGAAAGTCCTGGGAGAGGACTTAAATTCTAACAACAAGAGTTTATATATGTTTGTGTTTATAGTCTCTTAAAATGCAGAATTCTCTTGAAAGATTTTGAGGTTTCATAATATTTACATGTTAAGTGCAGGGGTTTTTAACCTGGGTTTTATATTTCTGGGATTCATGGATAGCATTTGGCCGTGTGATCCTGATCTCTTGAAATTGTATGAAAAATTTTATGTGTGCACCTTTGTGATTTTTCTGAGGAGAGGGGCCCATAACTTTTTTGAGATTCTCGAAGGGTTCTTGACACACCCAGATGGGTCCCCAACCCCCGGGCTATGGACCAGTGCTGGGCCATGGCCTGTTAGGAACCGGGCTGCACAACAGGAGGTGAGCAGCGGGCCGAAGGAAGCCTCATCTGTATTTGCAGTCCCTCCCCAGCTCTAGCATCACCTTCTCGGCTCCACCTCCGATCATCAGGCATTTGATTCTCATAGGAGTATCGGTCCCTGGTGCCAAAAAGGTTGGGGACCGCTGCACACAGAAATCAAGGGCCTTTTCAGTAATGTCATTGATTAAGTCAAATGTTGGTTGTGTTGTTTGGCTGAATTCAGCTACCTGACTGGGGTAGATTAAGGGAAAGAAATTTTGGGTGGGTGTCTCAGGTGAGGAACTTTGGTGCCATATGATACATCTCTGGAGATAGGATTACGAGCTCCTGAAGGAATGCCAAAGCAAAGCTTAACTAATTTCAGAATTTTTTTGTCAAGTCTTCTGGACTCCTCGGGCTTTTTTTTATACTCCAGGATTCACTAGTATATGATGATCCATGTGCTATGTACAATAGGCTTTGTGGGGAATCAAATTACTATTGTTTTAAAGAGAAAGTTTTGAAAGAAGGCTGAGTGGTTCATAGATTGCAGTCAAAAAATCACTTTTAAGTTGGGAGTTTATTCTTTGGAAATTTCTGAAATGTACAGATGTTTTAATCTAGTGATCTGGGGTAAGACATTTATTCTCTCCTTGCTTAATTTTTCTGACCATGAAATGAAAAATACTGTTGGCCTACGTTATAGGATCTTTCTGAAATATGACAATTATGGAATGCTTTGAGATTTAAGGTGCTTTAATGCTAATCAGTTGTTCACATTTCTTGTCATTAATAAAATCTAAAAATTCAAGCAAATAATGGTTCATATTTAGAGCTTGATTCCCAGAATACATCATTCTGAAATTTTAGATAGTTGGTCATTTTTACTTTCTTTGAAATTATATTAGAAGACAGTTTTGTCAGTTAGGGCCAAGATTCTGGGGCAGTGATCTCCAACTTCGATTGTCACCCTTATAAGTAAAATTTGAGCACACATTCTGAATTACATTAATAAATGATGTTTTATGCTATCGTCCTAATACATTTGTGTGTGTTATAAAATACATAGAAGGTAGAAATCTTAAAAGGATGAGATAAACATGAAATAAACTTTTTTAATATCTCGCTAATTGAGTTAATGGTGGTTTAGTAACAAGTTTGAACAGCTCGTTTTTATAAATATATTTGCTAATAACTCATGATGTTTTTTCTGTAATTAATGCCAGTTGGTAATGGTTTATATGATACTCTAAAAGTATTGGTAAATACAAAAACGATATGAATAAATATATTGGGTAATATTAAACTTAGAAAATTTGTTATGTAACTCGTAATTAACTTGTGTTTGTGGATTATCTTTACATTCATTAAATCTACAAAGAAGACCCCTAAATAGAACTGGAGTATTCTCTTTGTGCATTTTTTTTGTCCTTTGTCTTTCATTAAACAATTAATGAAATAAAATTCTTAGATCTTCCATATAAAAATAATCCACAAATTAAGGAAACAACCAAGATTTGCTAAATAAAAACACCATCATACAACTTGTCTCTTGACCCAAAACTGGCTTTAGGTACTAAGTCTAAAGAAGAAATAATTCAGATATCACCAATTATGTGACTGAGTTAAAATTTTTGCCTTCCTAAATGGCTCTGTATTTTAAAAGTTTTTTTACATTAAAAAATGCATTATTATTATACTGACATTTTAGAAAGAGAGCCCTCAAAACTGGTTATCTTTGATTTATAAACATTTAGGTGATTTTCATTTTCTTCCTTTACCTTTCATTATTTTTCTCAACTTAATGAAAATGCATTAACTTATAATTGAAAAATAAACATAAATATGAATAATATAATTATGTCCATAAGGACTCACTATCAGATTTTGGGCAGGTAAGTCACTTATCTTCACTGGGCCTATTCTTCACTTGAAAAATGAAGAGGACAGAAATGGTAAACTTCCTTTAAAAATTTCTTCTAAAATTAATTCTGAGTCTGTGTTATGACATGTTAAAAAGTAGGATATTTTCTTAAAAAGACATGTACATGTGTGCTTATTGTAGGAATGCAAAGAGAAAATTAAAAATAATTCTACCATACAGATAATTAACAATATTTTAATATATACCGTTTTGATATTTTCCTAAGTATACATGTATGTTCACGTGTGCGCACACTATATATACATATATTGTATATGATAATATGGAATAATACTGTGCATAATGTCTTGAACCAATAATACTAAGGATGTTTGATATGTCTATTTTGTCTTGAGTGTTCTTAATGGGGAAGTTATAAATCCATTTGTTTTAGTAAAATATAAAAGATATTTAAAAGTTTCTCTCCAAATACAAATTTGTCCAGGAAATGCTTACTGTCTGTTTCATGCTCTGTGTGGTTTTGCTGAGGTAAGGGTAACTTGGAGTAAGGGCGGAAGGGCTTGCTTATGAAAGCTTACTTAGTGAAGAATGAAAGCTAAATCCTGGGTTAACCTCAATTTCATTCACATATTAACTTGTTTTTTTTCCCACTCTTCCTGAACTAAGGGTCCTATTTGCAGGGTAGTTTCTGAAGTGATCCAATATTATTCGTCTTTTATTTTACTCTGGGACCTTTTGAGTTGTTAGAGTCCCATTGAGAGCAAATTAGATGTCAATATAATATAGAAGCGTAAAAAATACATTTGTTTTTAGCATTAATTAATGCTAAATGGTGTTCAAAAGATTTTATGTACATATAAATATGTATACAGATATGAAATGCTTTCCCTCAAGTATGTGATATATATAATTCTAATTTTACGGAAAGAAGAACTGGATCTTAAAATTAACTTCCTTAAAGATTTTATACAGTGGATTCTCTTTAGAATTGGTAATGTAACTCGATTTTCCTGCCTAATTATTTATTTCTGTCTGTAATCCCTCTGGTAGCTGGTTTGTTTTTATGTTTTATGTAAAATGGAAAGCAACTTAGGGTATATAGTCCCTTAGTTACAGCAATATCTAAAATAATCTGATCATTTTTCATCTAAGTATATGAAGCCTGTGGATGTGTGTTGTAAGAAAAAAGTCTTGATTTGTTTATTCTCTACCTTTCTACTTTGAAGATTAGGATCTTCTCTAGGAGAAAAACTTGGGGATCATTTATACTGGACAACTAAGATGCTTAAATCGGTATCTTCCAGACATAGTGGGAGGTAGAGAATCGCCGAACAAAAAGTATGAACTTTTGCCTCTTAAACTTTTGTTTCCAGTTTTTGTGTCTGAAGCTGTGAGAGCAGTAGCTAATTCTAATTTGAGAATCTACCAAGATGGTCTGTCTTTATTCTGAAGAAATCCATTTTGTAGCCAAATGAGTGGTGTATGTCTATGTCCTTTAAATAGGTCTTGTTTTTTTCCCCACTCTGCCCTTCTACTTCCTCAACTAAGGGTCCTACTAGCTTTGGTACAATAGGGATTCTTGTCTTTGAGGCTAGCATGATTTTGAAATTATCTTTTTTAAAAAAATAATGATTATAACAACTTTTCCCTTAAAGATAAAAGGTTGTGTGGCTGTTCCATGTAAATGTGCATACTCACATTTGGCCTACCAAGAGTTTTGGAATTCTCTATCCAAAGGCCTAATTGACATTTGAATGCCTAAAATGCACAACATCCCAAAATGAAAGTCCCTTCTCAGATTTAGCCCTGTTCCACTCTTGCTTACCTTAGTGAATGGTACCATCATTTCATCTAGTTTCTCAAAATAAAAACCTTGGTCTTTCCATATCATCAAATCCTGTTTAATTTTCTAAATAAGCTCAGTTTGTTTTCTTCATTTCCACCATTATCACTTTTGAGTTGGTATTGTTTCGAACCTGGATTGTTGCAAAAACCTGTAACTGGTCCACCTGCATCTGCTCTGACCGAGCAGCAGTCCATTCTCAATGCAGCCGGAATGAATTGAGCTGTTATAAATGCACAGGTGTGATCACATCCCCCATTGAATTTAGGATGAAGACAAAGTTCCTTAATGTGGCCATACCTACCTTTGGGACTCATTTTGTATCAGTCATGCTCCCCTCACTATAATGCCTAACCTATTACTCTTCCTTTTGCCTAGGAAGCTTTTCCCTCTCTAGTAAAATCTTTTAAGTTTTATTCAGGTCTCTGCTTAAGCATCATTTCCTCAGGGAAGTTTTGCCAGAGCTTCCTCATTTTTGTACTTTCCTTCACCATCTGTGTATATACATGTCATTTTTCATTTGTACATTACCTGATATACGTCTGTCTTTCCCACGAGATTGTAAGCTTCACGAAGGTGAATATGTTCATGTTCACCAGGTAGAGTGCCTGACATGGAACAAGCAGTCAATATTTATTTGATTGTAGAAATCTTGCAAAATCCACTTCTAATATTTTACCTTATTATTAGGTTTTTTCAGTGCCATCTAATATTTTTAAGGTTTTTAGGAACCCAGAGTGAGACTAGATCTTAAGCCAGGCCTACTTCTCAAAGTTATATGATTATCAGTCTTTTTTTTAACACATCCAGTGATAGGAAATTTGTTACTTATTCGAAGTCTGTTTGGTCTTTGAGACATTTAGCTGGTTAAAAAGTTTACAACTGAAATTTCTCCCCATAACTTTTAACTACTGGCTTCTGTTCTCTAGGACCGCCAAAAAACAAGGTTTTTTTTCTATTTTCTTATAAAGTCCTCCAAGTTGTCTCAATTTTATTTTAAGTATTTCTAGGACCTTCAGCCTTTTTGGAAAGGTAATGGGGTTTTGCTGGAAAGATAGAAGGGGGCCTATATTAGTTTCAGGGCTCTGGGTTTAAACCCCACCTAATAGCTTTGCAAACGAGCATGTTACTTACCCTTTTCTGAGTCTGAATTGCCTTCATTTTAAGGCAGGGGTAATAATGCCTATATCATTGAAGATTTAAGGAAAACTCATGTGAAGCACTTGACACATGGTAGCTAACTCATTCAATGGTGACTTCCACATACCAAACTACCCTGACCCTATTGCAGGGCCCATAGATAATTACGTGCAGCCTGGAGCCCAGCAAAAGTTGTGGGACTGGTCTGATAAGTACAAACTATAGTGGGTCCAATGTTTCTGTACCCTAGATACCTCATAGTCACAGTGATTAATGTATCTCAAGTTTGAATTAAGTTTATTTGTAGCCACAACTTTAGATTGGCTCATTAAACTTAGAATTGGTTAAAACCTCCAAGTCTTTTTCATTGATATAATTATTAAATCTATATATTGTGTGGTTGTTTAGATCCAAGTGCAGTTACATTATGTTGTGTGTTAGAAATGAGAAATGTTACATTATCGAGCCATAGGGCCTAGCGCACAGGAAGAGCTAAATTAGCTGAATTTAATGTCGCTGCATGGTTTAAAAGAGTCTTTAAACTTACCTATTTTAGTGCTATTCAGAGAATATTTCTTAAGTACTGTGGTGAATATAAAAAGGAAAAGAGTTACCATTGAAGTACCAGCTATATCAATGTTGGGCAGTTGGATGGCATACTAAATACACCTGTTACCAGGTAATCAGGTATTCCTTGAGGTAATCAATGGCTGATCACTTCCAGTTTGACGGACAGCTTGCTTTTGATGCTTCTATAAAGTATTATGAGATGTGTGTCCATTGCTTATTTTAAAAGTATGCATTTAATAATTTTCACATCCAGTATTATCTGGAGTTTGCATTTGAGTTTTGAAAAAGGCTAGAGAAATGGGTGATATAGAAATGGTGTTTAAAAAATATTTTTGAAAAAGCATTACATGCACATGGTTAAAAGATCAAACAGTGTGAAAGGAATACAGTGAAAAGTGAGTTTCTCTCCACAGTTTCTGTCTCCAGAAATCACCACCGCTACGGGTTTCTTGTGTGTCCTTCAAGGTAGGGTAAAGAAAAATGTGTGTGTGTCTCCCTTTTTAAAAACACAAATGATTGCTTATATGCATGGTCCTTTAGAAAGTGCTTTTTTTTTAAATGACATCTTTTGTATCCCGATCCTTAGCACCAGTGTAGGATTTCTAGTTTTTTTGCCCTATTGTTGAGAGACAAGGAACCAAATTCCATAGCTTTCCATTACTAACTTGATTGTGTGGATGCATTTCTAAGAGAATTGTATGTTATATAGCCCTTTATGAAAAACTTCTCTTTATAGGCTAAGTTTATACCAGAGAAATAAAACCAATTTTAATTCAGGTCATTTATTTAGAAAACGAGTAAAGAAAAAACCATTAATTCAAATTGATTTAACACATCTTGGTATTGCTTGAGCCCTTTCCATGCTTTCTAAATGAATTACTCATTTTGACTATGTTGACATCAGGGCTAAAGAAATTATTTCAAGAGCCTGATAGGTGTCAATAGTTTAGGAAGAGCTAGAATGTCTGAGAATAGGAGGGCTATGGCATCATTACATTCTACCTTGGGTTATTATTTGGGTTATTTTATTAACACTGTAAGCCAGTGGTTTTTAATCTTTTGACTTAGGACCCTTTTTTACTCTTAAAAATTATTAAGGACTCAAGTGTTTCTGTTTATATGGGTTATAACTTTTGATATTTACCTTATTAGAAATCTGAGAAATTTTGAAAATGTTTCTTTTAAAATAACAATAGTACAGCCACTACGTGTAAAAGTAGATGAAATATTTTTATAGAAAATAACTATTTTCCAAAACAATTTAATGACGAGTTGAATTGTTTTACAGTTGTTGCAATTCTCTTTAATGTCTGGCTGGATTCTCGTATCTGCTTTTGCACTCTGCGTAATATGGTGCTTTGGTTAAAGTACCAATAAGAAGATCTGGTCTCAGATATGTAGTTGAAAAAAGGGAAGAGCATTCTAAGAGCCTTTTCGGATAATTGTGGATATTCTTTGATATTACACCAAAACTCAGCAGTATTAATTTTTTAAAGGTGAGTTGCAATGTGGATTCTGGAACTATAATTGTACTTCATTACATTGAAATCTGTTGTTTTATCATGCACTTTGAATTGGTCTTGTAACCCATGCATGATTTTGTAACGTCATTGATATTTACGGAGTAATGCAGTTCCTCCAAATGTTGACACAAAAATCACATTCTTTAACGCCACTTCTGATCTCATCAGAAAAAGCTTTTCAGTAATGGAAAAGTAGTGTCAGATATAAATTTTCCCAAATTCTACTTATCACTTGAAATATCCAATTTATCATTTGCAACATATACTGTCAGTTATTTTCTGTGAAGTGGCAGGCTCACTTTGTTAACTTTTGAGAAAATGTTGGTTACCAGGTCTGAATAACCATCCAGTTTTTCAGCCACTTCAAAGTAAAAATGGTGTTCCTTGCGAAAAAGAGGCTAATTCATTTGCAGTTAGCTCAAAGCGTAGTACCTGTGCTTTTCAAAAGTTATTACACTTTCAAATGCAGAAGTGCTTTTTGCAGTTTATGTATTTGGTTACACAGAATCATAAAAAGACATTAGCTTAAGGGTAAAGCTGTAATAAAATTAATAATTTTTACTTTATATCAACACATTCTTAAATAAAACGGACTTTTTCCCCCTTTTTACTGTGAGCAAGTGAAGGTGAAGAATATAATTACTACTACAGTTTGGTGCCATTGCCTTAAATTGCGCTAAGATGCTAGTAGTTTTACCAACCATTGCTTTTGTGTCATAAGTGCAAATATAAGCACGATGATAAAAAGCAAATAATGTCTTAGTCACTATGAAAATAGTTTTGACCTCATGGATCCCTTAAAAAAGTCTCAGACCCCCTAGGGTTCTATGGTTTTGAGAATGGCTGCTTTGAGTTGTTTGAGGGTTAAACTAATCATCTAGATGCCCCCAACCCCTTCAGTTGTTTCTGGTTCAGGATTTAACACAGAAAAGGTGCTCAAAGAATATTTGTTTAATGAATGTGACATCATGACATTTAAACAGGACAAAACTTGGTGAGTAAAATAATAGGCAGCCTCACATCTATCCAGTAAGTTGATTGGGCAGCTTTTCTATGGACAGTTGGAGGAACAGGATGAACGAATGGAGTGTGGATGATAATATATGTGGTAAATGTAAATGATGAAATAAAGAACTAAACCTAAGGTGATATTGAAATTAGGATTAACTAGTTTCAGAAATGCACAGGAAAATGATACATGTATGAGTGCCTGTAGAGCAAGGGTTCGAGAATTAGGCTTCTATTAATGAGTCTTTTTGGGTCCTTAAATTTGTAGTGGTCAAAGAGAGGATCCTCAAGTAAGGTGGATCTGAGCTGAAAAGCAAACATCTCATTTAAATTTCAGTAGGTCATTGCTTGTGCTTAAAATCACTTTATGAGGAATAGTGGGTAAAAGACCTGTGTTTATATAAGCTGCAAATCCAGGTAGATAGTTCCGGTTGAGTAATTTTCCCCTTAAGGAAGCCTGTTCTATTGACTACCTTAGTGTGGTTATGAACTCTTCTTTCTCCTTTTTTTGGCAACGAATTGGGTGATTATATGGCAGGACATACCCTCTTCTTTTAGTATGGAAGTCTCAATCCATCTAGCTATGTTTCAGTAATCTCATAGTTAGCTAAATACTACTACTACTTTTGTTTTTAGGTGATTCGTTACAGTCTGTTTCTGGTGTAGGACTAGGATGTAGGAATGGACAGTAAAACTGAAGGCGGAAATGGGAAGGAAGAGTACTAATTCTAAACTGTCAAGGTCTTGCACCCACCACCCCCAGCCTTCATTCCTACTTTTTAAAACTTCTACTCCTTTCTCAAATAAAGATAGTAAGATATTTAATCTTACATAAGGATTGCATGTGTATATTTACAAGTAAATAACATACTGTGTGATGCCAACTATATGATACTCTGGAAAAGGCAAAACTATGGAGATAAGAAGAAGATCAATGGTTGCCAGGATTGGGATGAGAGTAATGGGAATGAATAGACAGAACACAGAGGAATTTTTAGGTCAGTGAAGATACTCTGTATGGTGATATGATGGAAATAGTCATTATGCATTTGTCCAAACCCATAGAAATATACAACATTAAGAGTAAACCCTAAGGTAAACTGTGTATGGACTTCGGGTGATTATGATGTCAGTGTAGGTTCATCCTGGGTTAAAAATACCACTCTAGTTTACAATGGGGGAGGCTTTGCTTATCTTTTCTTGGCAACTTGATGTCACAGTAGAAAGCATCGATTATTGACCTGTAAGTGGAACTTCTTTTGGCCTAAGTGTCATTGAACTCTTCTGCACTTTTTTGTTAGACCTTTATTCACATACCATGCCACTGGGAGGAGGGAGCATGATACACAGTTTGAGACAATAGTGGTACTATAGGCTACTGCTGGCAGACATGAGTTCCACCAAACCATTGTTTACAGGCATTTCTCTCACCAACGACAGTGTTGGGAAAGGTCCATCAGCAACATTGTCTCATTAGATGAACCTGTCCCATTCAGCTGATCTCTTCAGTCTTTTTCCATCATCATGCAACCTATGCATTCGTTATATAACTTTTTAACTATAAGCTATGTATATATTACATATAAACCATATTTTAAGAATAAACATGTATATGTTAACAATAAAATTATATAAACTATAAAATTGTATAGTTATAAAACTATTCAGCATTATCTAACTATAGGCTATGGTGATTTAAATTGGAGGAGCTCCTGACTGCTTTGAAAAATCCCTGTCCCGACCCTTTACCATGATTTCTTATGGGAACACTCGTATTTAACATACATTTTAAAAAGTTTTAGATTTTTAGAAAAATTGAAAGTACAGTGAGTTCCCCTATACCACCCTTGCCACCCACTCCTTCTCATAAACATCTTGCCTTAGTGTGTGGTAAATTTGTTACAACTGATGAACCAATATAACTTAAGGCCATAGTTTACATTAGGGTTCACTCTTTATGTTGTACAGTCTGTCGATTTTGATAGATGTATTATGATGGATCCTCCATTCCAGTACCATACAGAATGGTTTCAAGGCCCCCAAATCCCCTGTGCTCCTTCCCTTCCTTCTCCTAGGCACTGGCAACCACTGATCTTTCTACTGTTTCCATAGTTCTGCCTTTTATAGAATGTCATATAATTGGGATCACACAGTATGTAGCTTTTTCATATTAGCTTCTTAAACTTATCAATGTACATTTAAGTTTCTTCCATGCCTTTTAATGGAAGTTCATTTCTTTTTAGTGCTGAATAATAGTTCATTGTATGGATATACCACAGTTTTTTAATTCATTTACCTATTGAGAATATCTTGGTTGCTTCCCATTTGGGGCAGTTATACCTAAAACTGCTGTAAACATCTGTGTGCAAGTTTTCACGTCATTTGGGCAAATATCAAGGAGTATAATTGTTGGATCATATCGTAAGAATATGTTTAGTTTTTTAAGAAACTGCCAAACTTTTCCAAAGTGGCCGACATACAAATTTTTAGATTGCTTGTGCTTTTTCAAAAACACATTACTCAGGTATGTAAAGGAATGCCTGTCCTTTGCAGAATCTTAGAGGTTTTTGCCCCCTTACTTTCTTCTTGCTAACTTGAGTTTAACATGAATCACCCCTGAATCTTTTTTTTTTTAATAAGTCCGCATCATCCTATACTTTTCTGCAGTGGTTTGTTTGTTCGTTTGTTTTTTTTTAAGACCAAACTTGAGAATGGTGTATTTATGCCTATTAAAATTTACCCTTTGAGGTTTTACTCATTATTTTAGGCTGTTGGAGTCTTTTTGGAATCTGATTTTACCCTCCAAGGGCAGACTTCATTATCTCTGGCATGTCTAGTTACCTACCTACTTGACTAACATATCTTTTCTGTCTCTCTAGTTTTCCTAAACTGTCCCTCTGGTTGCTGTCTGTTTTTTCTACCTTTTTTTTTCCAGTGGCAAATTCCAGCTTGTGTTACTTTGATGGATGTATATAGTTAAACATAAACCTCAGACAATAGAAAAACATGCATTTTCAAAGGCACTAGGGAGTTGTATGCTTGAATCATGTTAAATATCAAGAACCTTTGTTTCCTTTTTTTTTTTGACACATAACTTTTATTAATTTTGATCGTGCAGTCTTCTTTTGGTATCTTGGAGCCAATTTATCTGTTTTCAGCTTTCTCTGAGCTTTTCTGTATGTACTGGAAACGAGACAGCCCAGAGACTATTTCTATAATACCTAGTAGATAAAATGACCTTGTTACCAGTCCATAAGGTAGAGGACTTACTGGGAGGCTAATCCTTGGGCCTCAGTTTCTCAGCTGCACAATGGAAGACTTGTGTTAACCAGGGGTTTCTACTTGTGCTCTATGGAGTCCTAAGGAGCCTCATATGGTCCTGCAAGAGGTGAGGGGGATGAATGGCTATAGCTCTTTCTGTTCCCCAGCCCCTTCAATAATAGAATTTCCACTTTCATCTTAGATTTTGTGGTTTGATATAGGATTCTGTTTAAAGAAAGGATTCCCAGAGTACATCATGCAGCTTTGATGGTCTATATATATATATATATGTGTATGTATCTCTGGTTTCATGAGCTTGGAGGCCGCCCTCAGATATTTCATGTGGTAAAGGGGGAGAGGGGCTTATTGTGCTATTTGTGACCCGGAAATAACCACACTCCCCATTATAAAAGTAATTACATGCTTATTATTTAAAGGGAGAAAAATTATAAAACAGAATTCATAATTCATAATTTCATTCTGCAGAGAGGATAGCATTGTTAACAGTTTCAGTACATCTTTCTAGATTATTTTGTTTGCCGATAACCATGTTCATACTCTTTTTTTCAATGAGACCACACTCATTCTAGCAGATTTTATGATCTGTTTTTTAAATTTTTTAAATTATATTGTGGACATTTTTCTGTGTCAATACATATGATTCTACTTCGTCCTTTAATACTTCTGTAATATTTCTCTGTAAT